CCAACCCTGCCAGAAGCCCTGCCAGCCTCTCTTACAGCTTTCCCAAGCCTTTCAGTCTAGCCATCATCCTTCAGGACCCTGCTAGATGTGCTGGCAGGCTCTGCAGGTTGGTTCCTGGGACAAAGTCCACATGGGATCCTCTGCTCAAGAGTCATGAAGAAGGCTTGACTTGGTCTGGGAGTCCTGCAACTCTCCAGCCTTGGTGAAGGTGGACATGAGCTGCCCTATGGGCATATGGTAGGGAACAAAACCAGAGGGGCCCTTCCTGGGGGCAGACAGGCAGTGCCCACCTTTGATGTTCCAGGGCAGGTTGACACTGATCATGGGAAAGGAAGCTTCTCCTTTCAGGAAGATATTTTCCGGGTCCAGGTCACCCACTGTAAGCTGGTAAGTCCTGCTGAACGCTCCTGGTAATCCTGGTAGGTAAGAGAATTCCAGCACTTGCTTCTCGCCAGGTGCAATGGAGCCCTGCAAGGACAGGAGAGGAGGGAGGGAATGCATCAGTGTTTGATGGGGATGGCTCAGGGGACAGACAGGCTGAGAACATAGGTTCTCATCTAGAAGAAACCATCAGACCACATCACCTTAGTGATAAACATATTACAGTCTCGGCTTTCACAACTGTTAGAGTAAATACTATGTGTTTTATAATGTTGACTTTTGTAAAAGAAGTTTTGCTAAAGTTTAGAGTTCTATTAAAGCGAATGTTGTGTTATGATACCAGTGTTGGTGAAGAGTTGTTGTAATATTAACATTTGACCAATGAAGGAATGGAAACCTTTTGAATATGTCAAAAAGTAACAAATGACCAGGACTAGGACAACTGCACATGCTCCAAAAAGGTGGGACAGAGGAGGGACTACGTAAAAATATATCAATATGTGTAAACATTTGTAGATATGGATTAGGCTGATGCAATACCCAGGGTATATAAGGGGTGTTGACTGGTGCGTGCCTCTGGCTAAGCACCCAAGCCAAGCACCCAGCACTGTTACTTCTGCTTTGTTGACTTTGTCCCCTATTGCCTCCTATTAAATTTTATTTAAATTTTAACTGAGGAGTGGCCTTCGTTTTTCATACCTTCTACCTTCCTCATGCCCAAAAGGTTGAGCCTCTGACCCCGGGGTGCCGTGTGTCCTCCCCAGGGCTCGTAAGGCTGCAGCCCCAGCACAGCCCGGTGTGAGCACAGCTCTGCTGCTGATGGGGTTTGCCCTCAGCCAGCAAGAGCCTGCCCCATCAAAAAAAGTCTCTTCTCCTGCCCTGTGGAAGGGAAGTCCCTGCACTCAGCAGGGCCAGCAGCTCCTCTCATCCCTTGTAGGAGACAGACATGAAGAAATGGGGAAGCCAATCGCTTCCTCTTCCCACTGCAAGGAAGGACAAAGGCAGGAGTGCTGCTTCGGCTCAAAGAATCCCAGGCAGGACTGAGAAGCTTGGACAGTGGTGGGATGCTCCTAATTTTTCTCCCTGCTCTTCCAGCCCCGCTGCTCCCTGGCTCCCTCACTGCCCCACAAAGCTGCTGCACAGCAACAAAGCTGGAGGAGGCAGGGAGCAGCAGGCCTATGTAAGGGATATGTGATCACACAGCCTGGGTAAGGTGACCCTCCAGTGCTAGCACAACCTGAGATCTCAGCTGTCAGGGTCCCCAGAGTGACTGTGAGCAACCAATTAAATTTTAAGCTATGCCACAACATATGTTATAAATCCACTTTCTGACATGGGGTGAAAAATTACTACAGGGGCTGTAGACGTGCTGGGAGCCTTAACACAATCCCACATGTAAAGGAGATGGCTAGGAGAAAATGCAGGCAGGCTCCGTGTCTGGGGGACTGCAAGCGACCACCCCGCTGGAGGCAGGCAGACCCCGAAGCCTGGGAAAATTTTGCCCGTCTTCCTAAAAGGGCTGAGTTATGGGAGGAATCTTAGCATATACAAGAAGTTAACACTGCCAGTTTTCCCCTGCCATTTTTGGTTTTTTGTTGGGCTTGGAGCACCCGGAGGGTCCAGCTCCCTGCAGAGCCACTTCTTCCCTGTCTGTCTACGCTGCTCCCGCCGCTTGCCCGCTCGCCACGGCAACGCAGTGCTCCGCTGCTTCCCCGAGGGAGCAGCCGCCGCGTCCCGACCGTGACGGACCGCGGCTGCTGAGCCCGGCCCGGCCGCACCCCGCGGGACAGCCGGCCCTGCTGCCCGGCGGATCGAGCCCGCCCGGCCGCACGCTCGGTGCGGCTGGCAGCACAGCTGCTCCATCTGCCGAGCAGGGCGCCGACACAGCGCCCCAGGGTCCCAGCGGTAACGCTCTGTCCCTGTCCTGGGTTACGCTCTCCGTTTCTCATTTTCTCTCTCTGCTCTTTTTTCTGTCCCCTTCTGGTCAGGACCATACCCTTTCTTTATCAATAAACAGTTTTCAGATATGACGCTGCGTTTGTCTGAGAAGCCTATCAAAAAGAATTCTCCTCTGCTCCCCTTAGAGTGGGACAGACAGCGACCAACACGCTTGTGCCTCCCACCGTGTCTGCCCTGTGACAGCAGAGCCACCCACCAGCCAAAACCGTGGGGGGTGTCTATCAGGAGAGCACTTGTTTGACCTTCTCTTCCCAGCAGAAATGGCTTACAGCTCTGTCTCTCTCATGACTGGGTTTGGGGTTTTCCCCTCCGACTTTTTCCCCCCTTTTCCCTCCCACTCCCCTCCCGGCTTTTTTCCCTTTAAAACTCTCCTGGGCCACCTGACACAGGGCTGGGGTCAGTCACTTGTGCTACTTACAGTGGTGGGGTTGACCAGAAACACACCAGGCAGATGCTGGTCTGCAGGGCTAGAGTTTAGCACCCAGCTGAATTCAGTCTTGCCAGTGTTCTCCAGGGTGACATTGCTGTGATGAATTTCATTAAACATCTGGAGAGAAGGCACAGGAAAGGGAAGTCACAGACCCAGGCCTGCTGCTGGGAATCTCCTTCCTCTCTCCTGGGATTGAAAGCAGACACATCCTGGGAGCAGGGACCAGGGAGGAGATAGGGGAACCTGGGGAACCCCCAGGCACAGGGCACCTGCACAGCACCAGGGAGCTCTGGCAGCACACAGAGGTGTGGTAACAACCATGTGAGGGCCAGTAATAAATGAACCAGGGGACACAGGCCCTCTGCACTCTGAGGGGTCACCAACAGCCAGGAGAAAGAGACAGCACTGAGGCATTGCAGAAGAAAAGGCACCTGCATGCAAGTACTGGCAAGCAACATACATGCAACAAGGGAGTCACACAGGGCAACACAGACAGGGCCAGCAGCTGGAAATATCTGTGGGCTTTCGACTGGAAAAGAGTGAAGTGGGGATTATTCTGGGACAGTCTCTCCAACTATAGTGACCAGAAGCCCAGCTTCTTCCCTTGACTGTTGTGTGGATTAAGCAAGAGCTTTAGACAAGAGCATCTCCTTGGAGGTCAGGTTTAGGAGTGGATCAGCAGAGGGATGTCTCAGGGACACACTCCTCAGAGCACCTCCACTGGGACTGTACCTGCCCCAGGAGGCAGTGTTAGGTACCCTGAAAAAGAGGCATTGCCAGCATTTTGGAGAGGGTTGGAGATGGCCATTTTAAACCAGCTTGGATGCCAGATGTGTCCCTCAAAGGTTGTACTTCCAAGCCCCAGAGCCAACAAAGGGGCTGGGAAGGGAAGGGAGCCCTGGACCGAGGTGGGCAGGAACCCACCAAGGCAAGGAGCTGTGCCAGGGCGTTGCGATTCATGTTTATCTTGTTAGTTTATTGTCAAATAATTTGCTCTGTTACACCTCCATGTTCTCCCCAAGTTGGTTCATCCCTGATTTGTACCCTGCCTCAAAGCTGTCCCTCACACTTTTCCCCACCCCTTGTTCCAGCTCTTTCCCTGCCTGTCAATGCAACCCAGCCCCTTATTGCCAAACCTTCTCTGCCACTCTTACCCTGGGCCAATCCCTGACTGCCACACCCCTTTGGAATTCCCCTAAACTTTGATGCCCCACTGGCCCATGTGACTTTCGCTTTCCACTCCCTGTCCGGTCCCTAACAAATGATGTCTTCCCTTTACCCCTCCTAAGAAGACTCCCCATTGCACAACTGCTTGTAACTGCCCCCTGAGTTGTAACACTATAAAATCTGTGCACCCAGTTATTCAGGGCCCTTTTGGCTTGCTGCTTTCACTTGAAATAAAACCTTCTGTGTGGAGCCTCAAGACAGAGAGCCTCCTCCTTTCTCCTTTGCCTGGTCCCTGTTGTGGCTTCTGTCCGGCACTGTAGAGCAAGTGGCTCTAAAGCTTCTGCTTCTGGCAAATCCCCACGCCAAGGCAGTTCTCCACTCCTGGCACAGCGCCCGAGTTTCAAGAGCTAGCCTGGGCTCCAGTGGGCTGCATCACCAGGGAACACGTGTGTTACCTGTAAGCCACAGCTGATCTGCCGGGGCCTCAGGGAGTAGCTGGCACATGAGGTCTCCCCGGTCACCAGCACCTCATAGGTGGGGCCTCCCTCCACGTGGCACAGCGCCTTCACACGGGCGATGGTGTTGAGGTGGCCGGAGAAGGTGAAGGAGACCTGCTGGCTCTCTCCTGGCTGCAGCACACCTGACAGTGGCACGATACTGAAAGCCTGGATGGAGGACAGGAGAGACTGAGGTGTGGAGCATGGAAATGGATGCAGAGGTGCATCTTGGAGCAAAGTGCAGCTGTACCTGGAGGGGCCTATTCCCCAAACACTGCCAGAATCCCCCTGATCTCATCCTGCATCCATGCCACTGACCAGTGGAGGACCACGGGGAAAAACTTCTCCCATACTCATGGATCAATGCATTAATTAATACACTACATTAAAGTGAACTGGGATATCTCCTGGCAGTAGAAATTCTCTCTCTGATGCACAACTGGCCTTTAAAAAGCCTTTCTTACTGCTTTTAGAAAAGGAGATTCAGAGTGAGAGCTCTTGGAGCTCAGGGAAGGACTCCAGCCCAGCTCATCTGACTCCTGAGGCTTTTCCCTTCTCTCTCTGATATATATGCTGCTTTCTCAAGGTGCCTGGAAACAGGTAGGCTGGCTGGCTTGGGAAGAGGGTACATGGAGATCAGGACTCATCAGAGCATGGTTTGGGAAGGAAGCTGGAGCTCTTACCATCATGCTGCAGATAAAAGCCACATCTTACATTGTGAAGGAAACAAGGCAAAAACATCCCACACTCAACACAGGCCTGAAGGATCTGAGTGGGCTTCTCCAAGGAAAACTCTCCTATTTCTCCCTCCCACACAGTCCAGCCACTGGCCCAGCCAATTCTCAGGGCACAGGACAACAGGGCAGCAAAAAGAGAGGTCAGCAGCACGAGCATGACTTGTTGGTGGCAGGCTTGTACACAAGCACTAGGGTACAAAAAAATCTACCTCTGCTCCTAAAGATTGGGCAAGATCCTGTGATTCTTTCAGGGCTGTGACTGGCTCCTTCACGTTTCTAATCTTGAAACGTCTCCTTTGATATGCTGAGGAACCCAAGGTTCTCTTCTCCTTTGGTGGTTGGGGTTTGAATTTAGGTGGGTAAAGCTCATATCTGGAAAATAAGATAACTATGAACAGGGACCTGCAGTGGGAGGAGTGCACGAGCAGCTCCTGCTCAGGATGCAGCCCCTGGGTGGGTGCTGGCACATTGAACTGAGAAATGGCTTGATCCAGCCCTTCCCAATCCAGGCTGGAGCAGCTCTGTTCCAAAGGCAGCCCAGGGTAGCAGCAGTGCAGCAGCTGCAACTGCTTAAATTGAGGAACTACAGAGGACAGGGATGAACACCTTGTGGGGATGCAAAAAGCACAGTGGGAGAGGAAAAGACAGAGAAAGCAAGCAAAAAGGTGAGATTTGAGGCACCAAGGGGCAGACCCAGCCAGTGACAGACAGCACAGCTCCCCCAGTGCCCAACCCCAGAAACTCTGCAGCTCCACCAGGTATTTATCAGGAATGTTTCCCTGACAGTGCTGAGAGCTTGATTGACATTTTCCAACACTCCCAGGTGACTCAGGTCACATTCCCCATTTTAAATTGAAGCAGGTGCTCAGGGTAACTCTGTATGTGTTTCTAATGCCACATGAGGGACACAGTTGAGCCGTGCCTGCCTGTCACCCTGCTGAGCTGCAAGTGCTCCCCACACAGTCAAACACAACGTGGATGCTCCATTCCCACCCAGGCACTCAGGGCCTGTAATGACCTGCTCCCCAAAGAATCACTGTCTTCAGCTTTGTCACTTGTTACCTAAGGCTGGGTTTCATTGCTGGATGAGGGGCAGTCTCATCACAACCCCTAAGAGATCCCCTAATCATCTATTCCACTGTCTATAGTTTTAATGAATGGTTTGAGGCAACTTCCCAGGACCATGGTGCCCAGACAATGACATTTTTCACTCTAAAGAAGAAACTGTCTGGGAGGCAGGGATAGGAGATGATGTGATGAACGAGTTCTGCTGTCAAGCAGTACGGAACCCATAAGGAACATGTTGCAGTGGGGAAAAAGTCAAAATGAGTAACAAGTGTCACAAAAAAAGGAAGTGAAGAATCCAAGGTGTCCACTGAATGCTGACCTCTGGGAAAGAAATCATCCTGGCAGCAAAGGAGTTGTCTCAGAAAAGAAGGAAAGGGAAGGCTGTTCAGCTGGCTGTTCAGCATCAGCCCAGGCACTAAGTAGCTCTTTCTCTGGTGTTGGGACTTTCTGGGCATCCTCCAGCACAATGCAAGGGAGGAAGGCAAGGAGCAGAGAGCAGCTCCTGCAGAGAGGACCCATCCCAAAGCAGAGGGGCCAGAAGGGCCTCCAGCAGCACTGTGGGAGCTGGGACTAGGAGACCTTCATCAAGGTGGACATTGCCTCAGGCCACAGAAGACTGAGAAAGCAGCTTTCACCCCAGCTTTCCTTCCCAGGGGAAACCACTATGGGGGCTATGCAGCACCAAATTGGTGGAAAACCTATTCCCTGCATCCAGCCTGAGCACGGCTGGTCAGTGTTATTGGTCAGATCCCAGGCAAACAGCTTTGTTCTTTGCCAAGTGCAAACAGGCCACCAGCAAGAAGAGCTTCAAGGAGAGGGCAAAGGTGCACATACCTCAACCTGTTCACCTGGCTGTCTGAATGGAATGACCAGTGGTACTGGACGGGAAGTGGGCTGCAGTTGGTCATCTTCAGAGAGCGCACTTTTTCAGTGCCAGGCACGATGCAGCCAAACTCCAGGGTGCTGGGCTGGATTTGGAGATTTGGGAAGTGCACTTCTCCCTGAAGGGTGATACGCTCCACAAAAGGATGGCCCCTGACCATGTCTATCTTCAGAACTTTCTCTTTTTTCCAGCTCTTCAAATCCAGTCCAAAAGCTGAGTCAAAAGCAGCTCCTGCTCAGGATGCAGCCCCTGGGTGGCTGCTGGCACACTGAACTGAGAAATGGTTTGATCCAGCCCTTCCCAATCCAGGCTGGAGCAGCTCTGTTCTAAAGGCAGCCCAGGGATGACACTGAGGTGCTGCAGCAGCTGCAACTGCTTGCATTGAGGAACTACAGAGGACAGGGATTAACATCTTGTGGGGATGCAAAAAGCACAGTGGGAGAGGAAAAGACAGAGAAGGCAAGCAAAAAGGTGAGATTTGAGGCACCGAGGGGCAGACCCAGCCAGTGACAGCCAGCACAGCCCCCCAGTGCCCAACACCAGAAACTCTGCAGCTCCACCAGCTATTTATCAGGAATGTTTCCCTGACAGTGCAGGGGGGTTGGTTGACATTTTCCAACCCTCCCAGGTGACTCAGGTCACATTCCCCATTTTAAATTGAAGCAGGTGCTCAGGGTAACTCTGCTTGTGTTTCTAATGCCACGTGAGGGACAGAGTCAAGCCCTGCCTGCCTGTCACCCTGCTGAGCTGCAAGTGCTCCCCACAGTCAAACACGACCTGGATGCTCCATTCCCACCCAGGCACTCAGGGCCTGTAATGACCTGCTCCCCAAAGAATCACTGTCTTCAGCTTTGTCACTTGTTACCTAAGGCTGGGTTTCATTGCTGGATGAGGGGCAGTCTCATCACAACCCCTAAGAGATCCCCTAATCATCTATTCCACTGTCTATAGTTTTAATGAATGGTTTGAGGCAACTTCCCAGGACCATGGTGCCCAGACAATGACATTTTTCACTCTAAAGAAGAAACTGTCTGGGAGGCAGGGATAGGAGATGATGTGATGAACGAGTTCTGCTGTCAAGCAGTACGGAACCCATAAGGAACATGTTGCAGTGGGGAAAAAGTCAAAATGAGTAACAAGTGTCACAAAAAAAGGAAGTGAAGAATCCAAGGTGTCCACTGAATGCTGACCTCTGGGAAAGAAATCATCCTGGCAGCAAAGGAGTTGTCTCAGAAAAGAAGGAAAGGGAAGGCTGTTCAGCTGGCGCTGTCTGAATGGAATGACCAGTGGTACTGGACGGGAAGTGGGCTGCAGTTGGTCATCTCCAGAGAACGCACTTCTTCAGTGCCAGGCAGGATGCAGCCAAACTCCAGGGTGCTGGGCTGGATTTGGAGATTTGGGAAGTGCACTTCTCCCCAAAGGACGATATGCTCCACAAAAGGATGGCCCCTGACCATGTCTATCTTCAGCATCTTCTCTTTTTTCCAGCTCTTAAATTCCAGTTCATAAGCTGGGTCAAATGCAATGTAGAGATGACAGGTCTCCCCTACATCCACTCTCACAGGCTGCAAGGAGATGAGCAGTAATTAATCGCCTGTGGGAGAATGTCTCAAGGTCTGACAGCACAAAACAGTAAATGTTCAAAGTCACCCCAGCATGGTTCATTTCTTGAACGGCTGCTCCAAGTCCAGCATAAGGTCCAGTGGCACCAGGCAGGTGTTTTTTAAAGACAAAGGCTGGTACTGCAGAGTCAGGATGTCACCGGGTTTCTATGGAAACGGGAGACAAGGAAAAACAGCCTCAAGTAGCCATAGACCACCTTGTGCTTCTGCTGCATCTCACATTCTTTAGCCTCAGAAGTGCATACATCTCTATTTACCCTTTCTATTTGTTTCTACCCTTCCAGGAGATTTTTCTTTATAGCAGATGCTTTTCATCTTTAGAAACCACAGCATCCTCTGGGGGACAGGGAAACACTCCCATGTACAGATGAGGAAATAGGTTCCTGAGAGGATGTGGCTGCTTGAAGAAAGATCTAAAGCAGAAAGTGAATCCAGACCATTTGGCTCCAGTTTTGTCTTCGTATTAGGCAGAACAGCACTAGATGGTCTTCACTCACATACAGTCATTCCTCACAACCTTATTGGCTCTAGCAGCCTCACAAAAGCCTAGGCTCTTCCTTCCTGTCTATGCATTGTGCTGGGCTTCCTGCATGGTTTAGAGAAACCAGAGAGTTTGGGAAACTAGTTCTGGATGTACTGATATCAAACAGGTGCTGTGCCACAGTATGCCATAAATCAGTTTGTATGCGTGGCATTGAGCAGAACCTAGGCAGAATCAGAGACAGCTGAAAAGCTTCTAAATTACATCTGAACTGCCTGTTCCAGGGATTCTGTACTTCAGCGGGAGCCTGGGAACCAGAGGAGAGGCCTGAAACTACAGAAACCTTTCAGAAAGGATGAAACATCTTGTATTTTTCAAACAACTTGCAGGAGAGGGAAAGATGATGCTGTAGTTGGGATCCAGAGACTAAAGGGCACCTGCTTTGCCCCAGTGTTATCACCACTGCAGCTGCAGGATGTCTGGGGGGTCCTTTGAAGCAGGTGAGACTTAGGGAAATGCACAGAGCTATACTATATAGCTATAGTACAAAGCTTATATGCCAACAGCAGAGAAGGCAAAGAGGCACAGGAGATGATGGGTTTTTCCTTGTCAGCCTGAGGAATTCACAGGAATCTCCATTTTCCCCAGCTTCCCTACAGAATCAGAGTACAGACATATCACTGCGCCTTGGAGCATCCTCCAAAACCTCCCTTTACAGTGAGCAGAGAAACTGGCATTTGTCTGGAAGTGGCTAAAAAAGTGGGTGTTACAGTGGTAGGCTGCTGCCTATCTCTTGTCCCCAGCAAGCCTCTCCTGTGGCAAGGCAAGCTGAGGGAACATTCAGGCAACACAGTCAAACCTCCACTCAACACTCACCACAACTGGCTCAGCGATAGAGGCAAGAAAGGCTCTTTTGCAAGGTTTTATTCCAGCAGAATAACACAGTAGCTGAAGGGATACCCAGCAGGAAAGAGGATGAACCACGTGCAGCAGGCAGCTTAAGAAGGTGGACATAGGAGCTAAGGGCTGGGCAGAGGGGACTGGCCTCCAGGGGAAAGGGGATGGCCACCAGGAGTGCCAAGCCAGTGACTGGGAAGGAGAAACCAGAGGCAGTTGCTACACCAAGTCCATGGGGAAGACCGTTTTTCTCTTTGGGAGGGGTGACTCTACAGTAAGTAGTTAATGTTTCCAGGGCTGAGGGCTTGGGGGTTGACTAAGGGAGGAGAGTTCATGGGATGCTACAAGTGGCCATGATCCTCCTTGGCAGTGCAGCTGTAACTGCAATTTTACTTTGGGGAAGGTAAATACCAGTCTCATCTCTAAAAGCATCTTCACTCACTTTACAAAGTGCCTCAGAAAGGGTAAAGAGGAGCTTTAACACAAGCACACAGCCCTCTCAGCCATGCAGTTAAGTGCCAGGATGCAATGCAGAGACTTACCTTCTCCACGCGGAAAGTGAAATGTCTGGCTGACACTTCTATAGAGGGATCAATATATTTGCAGGTAAGGACTGTTTCTATTATCTTTATCTTCTCTGTCCTGATGCCTGTCCCTAATTCATCTTCACACATCACATGATTCTGCACCTCCTGCATGCAAGAGTCACTTGTCACTAGTGGGTGGTGGCAGGGCATCCAGCAAAAGCCCTGCATTGGCTCAGCACCCACCACCCAGCACAGGCCTTATTCCTGCCACAGAGTTACAGTCACTGCCCCCTTTTCTTCCTGTGATGCAGCTTATTTATTCTGTGCTCAATTGTCTTTAACACTGCACCCAAAAGGCCCTTGTGAGAAACTCCCTACCTTGACATGGCTTTTGTTTTACTCTCTGCTTACCCCAGATAAATCACTTGGCACTTGTTTAATTCACTTTCTTTTTGAGCTCCTAGTCTAAGTGTAACTTATTTCTCTGCCCTTCTTTGCTGACTAACCATGCAAGACTGTTTGCCCCAAAAGAGCAATATTTCCTTCCACCCCTACTTTGGGATCAGCACTGGGTTTTGGTAGCTGTGGAATCACAATAAAGCCTTAGCTGGTCTGATGGTGGCCAACAAAGAAAGCAACTGGTGCTGCCACAGAAACATGAGGTCTTAAACCACTTTCTTGAAGGCCTCTGCTTATTTTCCCCAGGCAAATGTCAAGGGACTGCGGACCATGCCCTGGGGAGGGGATCTGATGGTTCCCCAGGCTCAGCCTGTGGTGGGGACCTCACCTGTGCGATGCGGGAGAAGCCTCGCAGCACCATGTCCGCAGACTGGCCTGGCTTCAGCTCCATCGACAGTGGCTCCAGCCCAAACACGGGGTTGGCAAGTTTGGGACTCTGGGAATCATCCTTGGGGCTACTGAGGGCTGAGACACTCTGGCCCTCCTCCTCCTCAGGTGGGCTGCAGCATCCCACGCTCCAGGAGAGCCGATGGAAACGGCAGCCCCGGTTTGTTACTCTGAACCGATGTATACAGGGAATGAGGCTAGAACAGAAGGCAGGATGGAAAATAGTATGGGAGTAGCTATTTCCCTGGTCATCAGATTGCTCTCAGTGAGCAACCTGAGGTGTTAATTGCTTGGAGACTGTCTACATTTCCAGCTTTTAAGGTAGACCAGAAATAGTGTCTGATAAGGTGGCATTTTGATGTCGTTATTGCAAAGGGAAATATGTTTATAATGGTAGTGTAGCATTTTCCAGGTGAGGCTAACAGGACATGGTGTTTTCCTCCAAAATGTTTGTTCTGGGGTGATTTCATACTGTTGCTGTATTTTGTATTAATCTGTGCCTGAAGCTGTTACTGCATCTTTGAGATCCTGCACTTGGGGACCTTGTGCGTGGGGGTATGATTGTAGGCATTTCTAAAAGCCAGGTCAGTGGCAGTTTCTGGATGATCCCAGCGAGCTGGTAAAAATTGTGTGCCTGCTCCAGGAGACGAAACCAGGGGAGCAGAGCCTCTCTCCTTCGTAAGCAGCTTTGGTTTTGCACTGGTAGCCATTTGTAGAAACTTCGTTTTGCAATTAGAAACTGTTTGGAAGTGAACTTTGCAAACTGTGCTGGCAGCAAAAAGTCGAGTGAGGTCCCGGGCAGAGCAGGGCAGCAGCAGAGCCCACAGACAGCATGAGGAAGCGGCAGCAGCGGCGGTGCAGACCCCGCACAAAACAGAGAGTTTCCGTCTGCCTCTGGAACTGCTCTGTGGGCTCCTGCCTTGCCGGTGGGGGTTGTCACCCTCCTGTCTCTTTGTTCCTGGGCCCCTGCTTGCCATTTTGGAAGGGAAGGATGTGATGCCGTCTTCCCTTGGTCTCTCAGCCACACGGAGGGACCGCCTCATCCGGGCGCCATTTCGGGAACCTTTTGTTCTGGGGCAGCCACTTGGTCAAGCGAGGACATCTCACCCCCAGCAGGGATCACTCCTTCTCTGGGTTCAGTAACAACGCAGTGGGGTCTGCGAGCCTGTAAGACAAGCATAGTGTGCATTTAGGATGGAAACCATACACCCTGGTCTCTTGTGGAATACAAGAAAAGAAAGACTAAAGAGAGGATGATAAAAATCATACAGGCTTAAAATCCCTAAAATACAGTATTGGGCAACAGCAGAGCTCATACAACCTGTATTTTCCCCTCCTTTAACGGACTCACCTAATTAACCCACCCAGTTTTGCCCAACCCAAGGGATGCTTATCCTCAGGACAGTGTTCCTTCCCCAGTCTTTCTCTGGAGTGTGTGCCAAGCAAAGCTGCTTTCTCTTTCCTGGCTTCTCACAAAGACTCAAAGCCAGAGGAAGCCAGGACTGCTCAAATTCCACTGCAGAAACCACATGGCTGGAGGACACTGCTGAGAGCCTGAAGAATATCTCTGCAAAACCAGTTGTGCAAAACCCCAACACCAAACTCTTCTTTCCCAAGGGGCCAACAGTACTTTTCAGCATCCCCTAAAGGACTGAAGCCCTCACTTCCCACCGATCATCAGCTGTAGAGAGGTGCCCCAGTGCACTTTGGAAAGTCACCTCTAAATGGTTGTACAAGCCCTTCCTGGCTGCACCAGCCCTGCTCCCCCTGCCAGGGGAGCAGCCCCAGCTCCTTCTGCCCTATGCAGCCTCCAGGTGTTAAACAGCCTTTCTCTGCAGCTGCTCCCCAAGGATGCTCTTCAAGGGCACAGAGATCACAGGCTGTGGGGGTGCACAACTCCCACACTTGCCTTTGTGTGGACAGCCCAGCTGGCTTGACCCACAGGAGGTGTGAAAATTGCCTCCCCACGAGCAGTCTGAGGACAGACCTCACACCGTGCTCTCTACTATTAACAGCAGTTTGGCACAAAGCAAATGTGCCAAATGGAGCTCCAAAAATGTGACAGGCACAGCTAAAGACCTTCCGTAAAATTAAGGAGACACAATCCAGATTAATTTCTGCTCCAACATCTCCGCACCTGCCTTCACTGAGGGGTGCCCCAGCTAAAACCACTCCAGAGCCAGGCTCCTCTGCCTCGCTCAGATGGAATATTGGAGTATCTTGCCTCCTCTCACACAGGGCAATATGGAAATCTTGCATATAAAAACCAAGTCATGGCTGCTACTGACCAGTCCATTTCCCTGGAAAACAGTCCCACAGATACTCACAATCTCTATCCTGAAGTCTGTAGGGATGAGACCCTCGTTGAAGAAGACGAAGCTTCGTGAAGTAGGCTGTAATACTGGGATCGTGCCAAACTCTATCAGCCTTGGACTTGGGTAGATTTCTGCTGGCTGTTCAGAGCTCCGTAATTCTACTCTCTGTTCCAGGAAGCAGGCAAGAAAGATTTCAAAAAAACCCAAAACAAACCACAACAGGGAAAGCTAAAAAAGCTTAAACAGCTCAACTCCACTCAAGTTATTTCTATAGGGACTGCTGCCACTCTCCAGCTGAAATGCTGGGCTTTTGGGGAAAAAAAAATTACATATTCACCTCCAAATTTAAAAGATTAAGGTATGAGAAATTTTCAAACCACAAATTATTGGCCCACAGGTAAAAGCTTTGCAAGGAATTTCTAGTTAAGACCAGGCCGAGAGTTAAACAATTGGTTATTCTGGTGGGGAGAAACCTTCCTCTTGAAGGTAAGCAGCCTGATAGCTGAAAGCAACTGTTTTGTCAGACTTCAGGCTCCCTGGCACAGCTTGCACTGCCTGTCCTTCCTGTTGACTGATACAGTGCCACAATGGCTCAGGTTCAGATGTTTGATGCTGTCCAGGGAATTTGGCATAATCATTTCCATGTGTTTTAATATAAGTTTAAATCCTTCTCCAACTACTCTTCAAATGCCAGCTTTCCTTTCTTTTACAGAAAGCTCAAGGCTCCCAGAAGTCTTCTGACATCTTTTGTGCTCAGAGAGATGACAAGACATTTTAAAACAGATGTTTCCAAAGTTAATAGCTTTAAAGATTAATTAACTAAAATAATCATTGATTCCAGCTTAGATGAACTACCTTTTGTGTCAGACACTGAGATTACCACCTATGAGGCATGAGCTGTTTGTGCCACTGATCCCTCCTGTCCTTCTCTCCACAGCAGCCTGTGCCTGTTTTCCCCAGAAGAATCCCTGTACCCTTTGTACCCTGCCAGGAGCAGCTGCACGAAGGCACACATCTCCCCTTGCACTCCCCCGTGGGTTTCTCTCATCCCCGAACACGCCGATAAGAACGTTGGTGCGATGCTTGCCCAGTGTTTGGACTTCGATTATAACTGGGATCTCTGCAAAGCTGTGAGGCTGGACAATCCCACAGGGCTTGGGGCTGGAGTAGAACATGGGAGAGTTCTCCTTGCGTTTCTGGAAGGGACAGAATCAAACGCAACTTCAGAGGGACCTCTGAAGAAACCTTAAACTCCTTAACATCCACCGCAACAACAACTTACACGCATGTTTAAAAATCCCCAGAACAAAGGTAAAACACACAAACAAGATGCAAGAATTGTAGGCTTAGCATTCTCAGGGCATCCTGCAAGGAGGCTGCCAGCACAGGCACTGGTGTCTGTGGATGCAGCAGCTTTTTACAACCCTCTAACATCTCCCACAAGAAAACAGCCTGAAGACTAGAACATAAACTGTTTCTTAGGAGGTTAAACTGCACCCTAAGGTTTACATTCAGGATCTTGTTCTCAGCAGATCTTTAAGACTGAATAGAAACCAGCAAGGCCTTATCCAAACCCTTTTTTCCCCCTTAATAATCTTCTCAATAATATTTGAGAGGAGGAAGTGGATGCGATGCCAAACCTGAGGAATAAGCCCGTAGCAGCCAGGAAGATGGGTGCTATTTGCAACAAGGAACTTCCTCTCGTATGGCACCTTCAGGTGGCACTCATCGTAGAACAGGATTTCAGGGTACACTTGCAGGTCAGGAACGAGACATCTGGGCAAAAGAGATGACCCCAAGGGAATCAGAGATATTGAGAGAATGGAGAACATTCACCCCCCAAAGATTGTGAAATGGAGCATAACACATTTGTCACTATCAAATAGACTTTGAACAGCCCTACAGTGATAAATTGCCTTCAACGTTTTCGCCCTCAAACATGTCTTGTCAAGGAGGGGCAAACCCTGAGAGGCAGCACCCAGAGGCTGCCAAGTGCCCCAGGCAGAGCACTTTGTCCCACAGCTGCCTCAGCCCCTCCTTTACCCAAAAGGCATGCAAGGACTCCTGTAACAGTCCCAGTGATCCACAAGCTCTGGGGGAATCTTCCCAACAAGGATCAGAGCTCACTAAGGCTCAAGGAACACACAACTCCAGTGTCCCAGTAAAAATGACTCTTCTCTGCCATGGTGCTGTTGCCCTGCCTGAGAACTCAGCTGCTTGCCCCAGCCTTGGAGGGCACGAGACACCAGCTGCTCTACAGAGCGGCTGATCAGCCCCTCCCAGGCCCTGCAGCTCCCTGGCTCCTGCACTCCACAGCTCCATGCACTGACTGTCCCCAGTTCCACTTGCTTTACAAAATGGCAGCCCAGGCACTGCCTGGATGGCTCTGCCTGGCAGAGGGAACAGCACCAGGGAACTGCATCCCTCTTGGCATCAAACTGACACCCACAGCAGCACAGCAGGATGGAATTCTGCTGCAGCAAGGATGACTTTTGGTTTAAGGCTGAGAACATTAAAGCTCAAAATGGGAAGCAGAGGGAAGGAGAAAAACTAGAGCTGACCTGCCACATCAAGGGCTGCTTTCCCCTCCTAAGACCTTGCCCTCACCACTCTTGCTGTGAGCCACTTCCCCCCTGCCATGTGCCCTCATGAGCAGAACCAGACCCTGACTCTCAGCAGGCTGCTTGGTGTGTCCCAAACCACTGCAGGGTGGTCACAACCCAGCACAACTCTACCCTTGCCGGAAGAGGGAGAGGAGGCCCTCTGGAAATTTTTCCATCTCAAGCACCAAAACCCAGGCCAATAAATTTTGTCATTCCTAGTCCCTTTAGAAAAGGGCCCAGGACCGTGCTGGGCTGTGAGCAGGGGTGCTTTTCACCACAGGCTGCTGTCCACAAACTCCTGTTCTTATGCCAGCTGGGCACAACATGAGGTCATTAACCAGCACTTCTCTGTGGGAGCTGCAGCCAGCAAACCCTGTGCAAGGCAGGGGCTGAGGGAGGCCAGGGAAGGGCTGGTACCTGGCTGTGATGACCAGTGATGCCACTTCCGTGCCAATACCCTCCAGGTCCACCAGCATTTTCCTGTAGAATTCCATCACGGTGTTGGAACACAGGGTCACCTGGTGGAAGAGAAGAGCAGTAAATTCTTCCATACAAAAGTTCATTACCCACGTGTGATATCCTCCAGTTCTTGTTTCATGGTAAGGAAAGGGCAGATTTTGCCTTAATTCTTCTGCTGGTCCATGTGTAGAGCACAGTCTCTGAGAGTAGCAAAAGCCTTCTGGCAATACCAGATTTGTTAAACACACCTTGCTCTATCAGGGCATTGGTCAGCTACATTAAAACGTTAGTCTAAAGCTCTATGCACCACTGTATTCAAATTAAGGGGCCAATTTTTCATCTGACTGATGACATAAATGCAGAGGAAATCTGCTGACTTGAACAGAATGAGTTCAGCTTCACAGCAGGAAGCTGAGGGCAAAGTGTGGCCCAGCAGGTGCTGTGCAATTCATGGCTGCAGTTTTTTGTCTCCACTGGCGATCCCTGCTCCCCAGGAGAACAGAAATGAGACCAAGAAGAAAAGCAAACTGTTTTATACAATGACATCTCTCTAACAGCCACCTTCTGTCCTCATCCTTGCTCTGCCCACTTGCAATCAAAGAAATCACTCTCAAATCACAAGAACGGCTTCAGTACTTGACCATATGGTATTGATCTCAGTGTACGATTTTGGAAATAAAACAGCCCTCCTTGAGGAACATCCCAAGTAACCCAGCTATCAGAGGCCTCACGCCAGTGCAGATCTCTCACTCACACAATGCTGGCACCAGAGCTAAAGCCCTGGCTGGACTCTTCCTGTACCTCGATATCCTGGTGTCCCTGGGGAAGGATGGTCCCTTGTCTGGGATTCATTGTGAACTCCCTTGGCTCCATATAAAAATTAATTCCCTTCCTCCAGGACAGGTCACCGTCGCGGCGTATTTGATCAATACTATCAACGGCCGGCTGCGTGCCATCGTCCGACATGCGGAGCTTGAACGTCACGGGCACCACGGAGTTGTTAGTGAGGCGACAGTGCTGGGTGTAGGGAAAGCCTAGGAAAAGGATGCAAATACCATTTAGGCACCAATTATGGCACGACTCCTGGTGTGAATATCCCGGCAGGATGAAAGTGGGATTGGAGTTGAGCTCTTTATTATCTGAACCGAGAAGCTGCAGGAGGAATTAATCATCACTTAATTCCCTTTGATACTGATTCCAGACTGCAGCCTTAAAAATGCCCACTCCTAGTCCTGCTGAACACTGCAAGCTTATCTCTTTGTAATGGGGAGGAGCTCCCTCAGCTGCCTCAAACCAGCACCAGTTATCTCTCAGTGATGAGTGTGCACCCAGACCGAGCATTTACTCCGAAAATTCAAGCTGTAAAATTCCCTGTTAAGCCTGCCAACACTTTCACCATTTTCAACATATATAAACAGTGAGCTGCCATTGAGAAGAAGCTACAGCAAAAGAAAGTGAGGATGGAATCAGGAACTACAACGTGATGCAAAGCACCCAAATGCAGCTTCTCTCTGCAGGATCCTTAAGGCATCTCTTGGTTTGGGCCAAACAGACTGAGCACGAGACAGCTCAGAGCCCACTCAACTGGGGGCAAACCCAATCCTTGCTTTGAGATTAGCAATTAGGAACCATGTCCCACCTCACCCAACAAATGGGGACATCACACCCTTGCTGCTCACTGTGATTGCTGCCTGCAAGGGTTTACCCCACTTTAGCTCTGAGATTTGCTTTCCATCCTGGAAAGCCAGAGATACAGCCACACATGCTGGGGATGTCCTGCAGAGCCCGGAGAGCAGCCACAACCTGCTCTGCAGTGGACATCTGGCTGGGCTGGCCAGCTCTGTGGGGAGGAGTCTTCTCCCTGGGCCTGCTCACCAAGAGTCACTGGAACACAGATGGGGAGACAAAACAACTGCAGGTTCAGCCCAGAGCATCTCTGTGCCCATCAAAGTGATCACTGCCAGCTCCAGCAGTGACTCCAGCAGGGAGGCAAGAAAGGTACACAAAGGACAAACACAGATGTCAAAACCTCAAATGAGACTGAGGTCACCACATGCAGACAACAGTCAACAGTTAAAAAGAAGCAAAGGTACAACAGCTGCCTTCAGCTGAAGAGACTTCAGGAATGAAATCAGATTAAATAGGATGAACGTCCTGATTTAGAACCATATTTATACCTGTTGCCTTTCTTGTTTTATTTATTCAAAAGGCAACTTAAGAAATGCCTCAGTGATGATGCAGGATGGGGAAGAAGCAGCTCAGAAAAGGCAATTAGTTTTCTTAAAAAGTTAATGAACTTCATTATTATGGGTTTAGGGTTCATAGTGAATGCTCCCCTGGTCTGGGAAGGGGGATAGGGGTTTTGGTCCTGGGGATGGGCTTTTCCATTTGGGGTTTTTTGGGAATTGTGGCGTGATGCCGAGGGCGCTGTGCAGTGGGAGCTGAGGCTGGGCAGGGAGCATTGGTTAAAAATCAAGGCCCAGTGACCTGTGCCTTCTGTTGTATTCACAGGACTGCCCCTGGCTCTGCTCTACACATCTCAACAAGAGACATCTGCCTTTGCTCAAGAAGAAAGCTGCTTATGCAATAACATCTCATGACCAAGTTTGGGGGAGGGACAGAGGAGAATCGATTCTTTGATGGTGAAAGGTTCCCTCTTGATTTCCAAAATAAAAAAGCAGCACTTTTCCTCCAAAAACACAGCCAGCATGCTTGTTTCCCCACTATGGGCAGACCTACTTACCACGTTTCTCTTGCTAAGTAATAACTTTCTTGTTCTTTTAAATCCATCTTCCTTATCTCATTGGTATAATCAACTGCAGATTGCTTTAATTTCTTTACTGCCTTGACCCAGTGCCTCCAACAGCAGCAGCCCAGCTCCAAAGCTCCAGAGCAGCCAGCATCAGCTCTCCTGCTTCCACCACATTATCCTAGCAGCACATGGCTCAGGCTAGCAGGGACAAGGCCTCATGCTGCTGTGGTCCAGAGCACTGAGCTCTGCCTCCTCTATTATCACCCTTCTCCCTTTTGCTGGACCAGGCACCAGCCCATGGGCCTTGCTGGGTGTTCAGGTGGGACATCCCGGAGCAGCTACTGCCCAAAGCTGCCATGGCCCAAGCATAGGGACACTCCTGCAGGGAGGAGTCATTTCAGCTCCCAGGTACCACACAGGACAGGAGGCATCCTCACACTAAGGCAATGCCAGGATCAGAGCAGAGATTAAGACCTCAGGAAACACCTTTTCTCTCTGCTCAACCCCAAAATGAGGTAGGTGGGGCATGTCCCAGAGACAGCTACAGATGTGCCCACCAAGATCCCAGGGTCCTTACTTGATGGTCAGGATTGCAGGAATAGGAGATCCAGCCACATTGAAGTGGAATTCTTCCTCAAAGCACCCCAACATGGTGGGACTGAAGGAGACCTGGATAGTCTGGGTCCCACCTGCTGCAATGATGCCCTCCTTGGGCTCAAACTTGAAGCAGTAGTCCAGATTTGTGGTTGAAGGGATATAGGTGAAGGGAGCATCAATAGCTCCTTGATTAATCAGTTTCACCTGCAGCAGCAAGAAAGCAAAGTGGAAATACATGTGGAATCTTCCCTTCTTGCGAGTTATTGTCTAATGATGCAATGAACAGCCAGAAAAGACAGAAGATGCTTTGTGCTGCTGAATGGCAGATGCCAAAAAATACAAGGGGGGAGGCAAATAGGTAGAAAAATCCTGTGCTTTATTCCCAGGAACACTTTTCTCATTCTAGAGCCAGAGATGCACCCAGGCTGAAGTGTGGTGAAGGACTGGTCAGCAAGGGAAAGAACTCCCAAGCCCTTTGCAAGGGCCAGCACTGAGCCAGGAGGCTGGATGGCTTTCCTGTGACTTCCAGGAGTAAGCAGGAGACACTTGACTGGAAGCTGTTTGCAGTGGACTGAAGCTCAAGCACAGCCAGTTTGTTCCAGCTGCCTCTGAACAGCCCAGTCCCAAGGTGCCTTGTGTCTGGCACTGCCACAAAAGCCTCTGAACATGCAGCTTTTGGACCCAGTGCTGGTTTCATGTGCCAAGGGGCTGTTTTGCAGGAAGCCTCCCAGCTGATCCCTAAGGAAGGCTGCCCAAAAGCAGGGACTGGGGCTTCATGAAAAATAGACACACCTTTCTGACCCCCCCAGGTTTAACCAGTACATCAAATATTCCCTGCTCACAACTGCCCAGGTTGGCAGGAATTCCACAGCTCCACCAGGCTTGCTGCTGCCTCAGGAGCCATCAGGACCCAACCCAGCCCCTGCTGCTCACCTCACAGACTTGGGGGGTGTGGATAAAAATGTTGTCAAGGTCCAGTGTATGACAGCTGAATTCAACCAAGAGTTCTTGGCCTTCACCTCTGAGGTGCAGGGGCAGCCTGCTCTCACGGCCTGGGGAGAGATGCCCATTTCAGTACAATCATTCCCTCTGTTATACTTTATTTTCCAGGCTGCCTCAATGCTAGTCCCTGACTCTGAGCTGGATGCAACTAACTCCTGATGATGCAGGAGAAGATATAGATCCTTCTCTTCCCTCAGGAGATATCCCTTGGGGCTGACTTCTAATTTCTAACCCATTCCTTGGGCTGGTTTCCAATTTTAGCCACCAGTCTGCTGAGTTTAAAACATCTCTGATGTCCTGTAGTGACAGGCCAAGGCGTAATGGGTATAGATTGAATGAAAGGGAATTTAGGTTAGATATTAGGAAGAAATTTTTTACTGTGGTGGTGGTGAGACACTGGGGCAGATTCCCCAGGGGTGAGGTTCTGGCCCTGCAAGTGTTCAAAGCCAGGCTGGATGGGGCTTGGAGCTACCTGATCTAGTGGGAGGGGACTAGACGATCTTTAACGTCCATTCCATCCTGAACATACCATGATTCTGTGGTTTCCTTCCCATGCACTTAGAGGAGCTTTGAAATCCATTCAGTGAAGGCACAAAGCTCATAAAGAGCAAATTGCCAGGCAGCAATTGCCAAGCTACCTGGCCCAGTAGCACACAACTTTGTTGCCAAAGTCCTGCCAAAGTCCTCACCTTCTGACACTCAGCATTGTGTTCTATTTCCACAGACTGAGAGCTGCAAGGTGACAATTCCCACACAGGGACAGAAGCAGGTGCTGGCTTAGGGTGCTCCTTCTACAAAATCCCTGGACTCAGTGGGGCTCAGCCACCTCTGGTCCATGGTCTGAGATCTCAAAAGCTTCTCTGACAGCAGGACAGTGGCCTTGGAACTAAAACCATTCCTATGACTGGAAGTAAGGAAGAACAAAATGCCCTAGTGACAGTCTAGGACACAGACTGCCATAAAAACAGATGTAATTGGAAAAAATCCAAAACCAGATTGAAGTTTATGCTGGGGAAACGTAGTTGCTTCTGAAGGGAAAGTGGATCACCTGGGGTCCAGGCTGAGGCAGGAAAGTGGGGAAAAAATGGAAATAAACAGCCCAGGGAAGTAGCCAGAGAAGGTCATGGGCTTTTATTTTAACACACAGAGCTTGTATGGAAGTCACTGTGTGAGGAGATAGAGAGCAGTGGAAAACCGAGAAGCCCAGGGCACTAAAGGATCCTCTCACCAGCCATTCAAGCAGGTCGACCTCCTGGTCCTTTGCAGGCAATTTAAAATGGCTCTGTGGAGTGTGAGCGACCTGGCCCACAGCAAACAGGGGCTTGCCACAGCAGTTCTGGCCCAGCAGTTTTGGCACGGCATTTTTCAGTTTTTGTGTGGCAGTTTGTGCAAGCAGACTGAGCAGAAAGGGTGCAGCCACCCACCCTCCTTGTGTAGTGGGTTGTGTCTATTGGCTGGTTGTGAGGTGCGAGACTTTTTTTTTATTTCTTCCTTTCTTCTTTCTGCCTTCTTTTTTTTCCCAGCAATGGTTTAACCTTGATGAAAAGCCATTGCTGCTGCTGCTGCCAGCAGGAGTGTACTAACTCAAACAGAACCCCCCAGGAAGGACGCAGCTGTCCAGGCCCCTGGCTGCAGGGAGGGTCTGAACCTGTTGTTAGTATCAGAGGATAGTGTGAAAGACACTTGTGTGTGGTGTGAGCAGCTGAATTATCTGCTCTGTCCGGTAGCAGAACTTAAGGAAGAAGAGGAAAGGCTGAGGAGCATTAGGGAGAACGAAAAATAAATAAACACCCATCCAACCCTGAGAGAAGCTCAGCAGAAGCCAGAGCAGCCCTGCCCTTCTTGTTATCAGGAAGAAGGAGAAGACCTAAGAGACAGTGGGGAATGGAAATGGGTCTCTCCTGGGGAGGTAATAAAATCCCGTCACCTACCCAGGTGCCCTGACAGAACTGTATGAGGCCCTGGCTCCAGAGGGTCAGGCAGATGACACTAAAGAAAAAATTCTGTCTGGAGAGTCTCCCAGTTGCACTTGGTCTGCCAGACAGATCACAGCCTCAAGTATTAAGAAGAAAAGAAGGTTAGTGGTAGTAGGTGACTCCCTTCTAAGATGAACTGAGGGCCCTGTATATTGACCAGATCTATTCCACAGGGAAGTGTGCTGCCTCCCTGGGATCCAGGCACTGGATATCACAAGGAGATTCCCTAATAACTAAATGAACTTCATCTGTTCACCACTGCCTGGGGTGCAGTGACTGTGAAATAATAGAGTTCTCAATATTTGGTGAAACAAGGATGGGCATCAACAAAACTTCCACTCTGGACTTCTGGAGAGCAGATTCGGCCTATTCAAGAGACTGATTTGGAGAGTGCCTTGGGAAACAGCCCTTAAAAACAAAGGGGTCCCGGAAAGATGGACACACTTCAAGAAAGAAGTCTTGAAGGCACAGGAACAAACTGTCCCTGTGTGCTGAAAGACAAGCTGATGGGGAAGACAACCAGCCTGGATAGGCAAGGAGCTCTTGAAGGAACTAAGGGAAAAAAAGAGGGTGTATCACCTTTGGAAAGAGGGGTTGGCAAATCAGGAGCTATTTAAGGATGTTGCCAGGTCATGTAGGAAGAAGATTAGAGAGGCAAAAGCCCAATTAGAACTTGAGGAAATCCAATCATTGCAATCAACCTTTTCTTCCCAAAATGCCATTCCTGGTTGGAGTATAAATGGAACTGGAATGCTAAGTGCTGAGATCCTGAAGCCCAGGGACACACACCCTGCTGGTGCCAGGGATGGTTTACTTGGTCTAAACCATTCAAAAGCACCAACACCCCACTGAGGCCACACGTTGGTTTTAGTCTTGGGCCATATATCTCACTGAAATGTATCTTTCAAACCAACCTCTTCTTCTCTTCATTCTCATCTTCCTCAGTAGGAAAAGTCTTCCACTGGAAGTGGGCTGTGATGTTACTTTTGTTTTCAATGAACACAGTGGTGTGGTTTGATGTGGTGATGAAAGCCTTCTCAAACTCCATGGAATTTGTGCTCAACCCAACATTGACATCTACAGCTTCTCCGCAGAGGTTTGTCTTGATACTTTCTTCACCTGGAACAAAGCAAAGGGGAGTCTTTGCTCAGCTCAGTTGCTGATGGAAGCACAAGGAACAAAGCAAACCACAGGTCGCAGAAGGAAGTGTCACAGTTTTTAGCTGTGTTAGCAGTTCTGTGGATCATTTATCACATCCTGACAGCTCTGTGTGTAGAGCGTGAGGATGTCCTGAGCAGCTCCTTAAACACCTTATTTCTGAGTGTGTTTGTAGAGCTTTGGCCCCAAGGTGACAGTGTGTACAGTGAGATTTGTCAGATGCGCTCAGGTGACACACTCAGATCACACTGAGGAGCCCTGTTCAGTCCTGCCTTGCCTAGGGTCTCCCCTGGGCATCCCAAAAGAATCCTGTCTCTCCTGATCCCCTGCATCCCTTGTTGCTGACAAGCAAATAAGCCTGGGGGCATGTGGGCAGCAAAAGGAGGCCCAGAGGAACAAGTGAAGTGACAGCCCACAGCAGCAGGGGAAACAAGTAAGGAAACACAACCAGCTTGGCTCTGCAATATGACAAATCACTATAAAATGAACACCATGAAAATCATCATCATCATTTCCCTGTCCAAATCCACAGCCACATCAGTCTTAAAATATTTTATATTGTTCTGCTCTCAAAAACTAAGCTGAAGCATTTCAAATTGAATTTAAAAGGGACAAAGGAAAGATTAATAAGTACAGAACAGCTTCTGTATGAAGACTGAATGGGATTCCTCAGTCTAGACATCAAATGGGAGATAGATGTGAGAGGTTTGCAGCAGCATGAATGGCCTGGGAAATGGGGACGAGGAAAAATTTGTCTTTATTTGTCACTACCCAGGAACTTGAGGGCCTGAAAATGGTATTAGACAGAAACTAAATTTATGTGTAGAGGGCAACATAGAAAAAGGGTCTATGACAAGCCAATGGAGAAGCAGCATGTGGGACAGGTGTGCAAGAAATCCATTGCATTGGAGAGAGTCAGATGGAATCACTTAAAAGTGTGTTCTGGGCAGTTTGGTGATGAATGCAGCACACACAAAAATAAAGAGAACATCTGGCAAGCTGAACTTAATTCATGTCAGTAGTGACAGCTGATGAACTTGCTTCAGGTTCAGCTCATTAAGGACCTATTGCTGCAAATATGGGCCTGACCTGTTCCCATTCCCACTAGTGGGAACATCACTCCTGGCTGATGGAGAAGCCTTGGGCCTGCATTGTTTATGTGCTGGATGTGAGACTTTGGAGGGAGGGGAGGAAAGACAAGGTCCCAGCAGCCCCAGAGCTCCTGCATCTGTCCCAGGGCTGATGCCAGGACTGCTGCAGCTCTCTGCTGGGGCTTGGGGCTCAGTGCCTGGTGTGGGCAAGGCACAGGATTCTTTTCTTAGTCTTTTGCCAGAAATTTCATCAGAATAGAGAAGCTGCCAGTTAGGGGAATCCCTGGCCAGGCTTCAGTGCTACTTTCCATTCCATTCCCTTCCCACTTCTGCCCCATGTTACATGCTCCTGCCTCAGATGGCAGGATGGGAATAACACTCCTGGGGGTGACTTCAGGGATTGCCTGAGAAAGAAGGTGTCTTCTTATTTTCAAATTACCAGGAGAAGAGGATCCAGCCAAGTTCAGGACTCAGTTGTCAGGACTGAAAAACTGACTGCAATTCAGCCCCTGCATCTCTTACATCCCTGGGCTGTACCCACCAGACTCCTCTGTTACTGCTGTAGCAGTCATATCTCACACAGACCTGACTCCCCAAGACCCAAGGACACAAGCTCTACTCCTCTGAATTTCTGCCAACATCACTGAGCTGTTCCCTGAGCCCAGATCTATCTTCCCAGATAGAAGAGCTGTGAAGGAGACATCCCTGACACACTGTAATAGCCAAATGAAAACCACTGCCAAGAGATGGGGCTGGCAAGCTAAGTCTTGGGCTTTTATCTGTTAATTGTGAGCTGTTCCCTAAGATAGTTCTCATCCTGTTAGATCCATCCTTTCAATGAATCACTACTGCACTGGACAGGCAGAAAAGATAAGGTATGGAGGGGGTTTTAATAGGTTGTTTTCTTCTGCTTTTTAACTGGGTCCATTTGTATGTTTGTTTCCTTGTATGGCATCTAAAGACAGGTCCAGATCTCCCGATGACACCTAGCAATCCCCAGACACTGGTCTTGCTATGAGCAGTGTGTCTGCTCAGACGATTTCCAGAGGTCCCCTCCAGCAAAAGTTATTCTATACTTTTATCTTCTAAGTCAGCCCAATTGCTTTTCACATATTCACTAAATGTCTCATATTTCCTATACACCTGTGCATGTACCTATGGGCATGTGGTATAGTGATAGGCATTACAGGAGCTCAACCTTCATGAAAAGTTCCCAATGAAGAATTCATAATCTTCTGGCAAACATTTAACACAAAAAAAAAAAAAACAAAAAACAAAACACAAAAACAACAACCAAAAAAAAAAAAAACCAGCAGAAACACAGGAACTTCAGAGTGTTTAAAAAGAAACCTCAATGAAAGGGGCACAACCTTATTCAGAGATTTAAATAATCTGTTTGAAATTTTAAACTGGCTTTCAAAGGTTCATCATGGAACAGAAGAGGTGACTGATGCCCTCAGCTGACAAGGGAAATGAGATCAGCTTTAAGAAACAGGAACTGCACTGGCTGCCCACAGCACAGCTCATGGTGGGCATCTCATGAGAGGAGCACTGGAAAGCCACGTGCCTGTGGCCTCCCAGAGAATGGGTCTATTTGGCTGACAGTGCTGAGTCAGCATTTCAGAAGCTGCTTGTGCTCAGGAGGGTGCAAGCCAGCTACTAACATGTTCCAGCACGCTCCAGAGACAGAGAAGTCTGGGACAGAGACAGCTCAAAGGATGCAGGGCAGCAGCTGTGATGCTCTGCTTCCTTCTGTTGCTCTTTCCCTACACTGTTATGACCCAAAGGTGTTTTGCACAAGGAGAGATAAGCTGCCTCACCTCTGGGTGCTCAGACGGTAACGAGCTGCCCGGTTACCAACATTGCGAACTAACAGAGTCTTCTGGGTGCTGTACTTGACCGGACACGTGGAGAAGTCCAGCTGGTCAGGGAAGTCCAGGATGGCTCGGGCACCGATGGCCCGAATTGGCACAACTATCCTTTCCCTTGCAGTTGTGCAGATGAGTCTATGGGAATAATCCTGCAGGAAAAGAAACAAGATCAGCACAGGGCATTTAGTGCCATCCCCATGGCATTTTCTATAATCCTTCAAGGGCATCAATTTACCTATCCCACCCTAAAATGAACACTAAGTTCTATCAATATGTCACATTTTAAAGGCACCAGTGCACTTTGTAAAACCTATCTCCGTGGCATTAAGCTCTTGTGTCATTTGGGTCACACAGAGAACTACCCTAGGCCACCATAATTTTTACTCTAAATTTTAATGATGTTAAATAATTCCTAAGTCCCTTCTAAGGAACATGGGAGATAGGGAACACAGGACACTCCTCTTTAGGTTTCTATATTACTGCTTTTTGAGAATAGGACAGAGTGTTAAACTGACTCTAAGCAGCAAAAGGAAGATGAGAGAACAGCTGCACCCAAAGAGATCCTGCACCTCTGGCCTGGTGTAGAAACATCAGCTGTCTCAGAACTCCCCTCTAACTTTGCCTCTCCAAGCAAGTCAGGAGAAGAACAGTGCTAAGAGGTAGCAGGATGCTGTTGGAAAGAGCCTCTCTTTGTTTCCCTGCAAAGCTTCCTCCCTTCCATGCCAGGTCCTAAACCCTTTCGTATGAACAAGCCTCCAGATCCCAGCACTGAGATCAGACTTGCCAGGGCCTCAGCACTGGTGTTCAAACCTCCATGGAAAAGCATCTTTGGCACAGAAAGGGTGCCAGCTGACAGAGCAAGCACAGGGACAGGCATGAAGACAGAGCCACAGCAGTGTCACTGCCATGGGCTCTGGGCTCACAGCTCTGCCTGCAGCTTGAACCTGCCCTACACCAGCTCCTGCAGGCAGGTGTCCAAGTCCCCTGCAGCTCAGCAACCTCCTGCTGACCAAGGGCACCTAGAGCCCAGTGTGCCTGTGCCAGGCTGGGCTCACGAGCACAGCACATCCTCTGCCCTGGCCCTGCAGCTGTACCATGGTCAGCTGTGCTCTGAGACAGTACAGCTGCATGGCTGGAGAACAGAGGGTGTAAAAAAACATCGTCTTTGCTCCAGCCCAGGGGGAGGCAGGGAAGCTGCTGCAGTCAGGAAGGAGGAAAGCTCTCGGACCTTTGTTCCTCTAGTATTTTCCATAATAATTAAGCTCCTTCCACTGTACCTAGAGATGGCTGAATATGTCATTGTCAACACCCCTGTGTCATTTTCATATCGTCCCCTGTGCATCTTCCCTTGGGAATGCTCAGAAACGTGGACGGAGGGGAAGCTGAGCCTGTCAGGCCTGGGTGCAGTGCCTGACAGCATGTGCCAAGCTGTGACTGGCTGCTGCAGGCTGCCTGCCCATGGCCTGGAGCCAAGCTCACAGCATGGAATGGGCTGCACCCAGAGCGCAGGGTGGTTTTGGAGAAAATTCTGTTTTGGCTCCTCCAGTCTCACCTTGTTCTTGTTGGCGGTGAAGCAGATGCGCACAGGGGCAGACGCGCCCGGCAGCACAACACGGTACGCATCGTTGGAGCCCATGAGTTGGAAGTAAGGTGAGCTCTCCATGGAGACCTTCACCACCTGAGGAGTCTGCAGGAAAGACGTGAAATGATGATTTTGCCACTTGTGGAAACAGGACGAGAGGAGACCTGTCCATGCCCTGGTGTCATCCCTCCTTGGCCCCTTTTCCAAAGCACTTTCAGCTGGGGAGGTACAGGCACATAATTCACATCGGTGAACTTGAATCCCTTCTCTCTGGGTCCAACATTTTGGCCAGGAGCAGTAGGGCAGGGCCTGGTGGCAAGGAAGGGCCAAGCAGGTCAGCACCAGCAGGATGGAGACAGAGCACCTCAACCAAGTCATCTGCATATTCAACAGGGCCAAAAAACCTGCTGGCTTCTGCCTGCACACAGCCATGTAGCCATGGTCCAGAGGGGGAATGTGCTACCTGAAAGCAAACCAGCACATTGTCCTGGGGGAAGGAAGAAATTCCCTTCTAGCAGATCAGGTTTGGGTTTGTTTCAGAACACATTTCAGAACACGTTCTGGGGATAAGGTCAGGCAGGCAGACCAGCAAGAGAGGAGACCAAACACTGTGGCCTTACTGGGAATAAAAGCAAACCTGAAAAGCAAAAGAAGGAACACAGCAAGACAATCTCTGAAACAAGGAGATGACAAAGAGAATTTAAAATGGGCAGTAAAGCAGCAAGGAAGAATCATAAAACCATGAGAGCAATCAGCTTGCCAAAAGTGACAGAAACACAGACAGGCTGTGCCTATGGACTATGGGCTTCAAAGGCATTTTCTGCCTGGAGAAACATGACCAGCACTGACTGACAGTGTGGTTCCAGTATGAAAAGCCAATCTTGGCTCTCCAGGGCTTCTTGCTGCCCGTGCAGGCAAGCTGGGCTGCTGGGCATTCCTGCCTGCAGCCAGCAGGCCAGGTTCTGCCCTCTGGCATTCACAGACACAGCAAACATGCATTTTCTAGCAATTTTCTAGCATTTTCTATCAACCCCTGAGCACCAAAATGCTCTCCAAAAGTCTAAACCAGATGATTTTGACTCCCTCCTGTCTCTTCCCACCAGCCCACTCTTGGCACAAGCCTCATTTGAGAAAATGTTTTCCTGACTGAAATTCAAATGGTCTCAGTATTCCTCTTTACAGTGGAACACAAGTGCTGACATTTTTCAACTTTTTCCCTCTCAACTCTCTTGGGAAACTGCAAAACACTCACAATTTCTTCAAGTGAAAGTGAAAACCTCCAGGAGCACATGACTTTGGATGTGCTGTCGTTCTCCAAAGGAAAAACAGAGCACCATGTTGCTTTTGGAAAACCTGAGCAGAGCTGGATGAAGCTTAGCAGGAGCCTGAAGTGGCACCTAAAAGCCTCCTACTGCTTCTGCTACATCAGCCTGATTCCAGGGCTCTTTCAGAACATGTTTCCTGCAGTGCCAATGCCATTAATGATAAGTGATTCCAGCATAAAGTGGAGCAGATTCAGCCCCTGAGCTTTGACTGTGAGCTTCACAAAGGGAGCCAAACAGGCTGAGAGAGGCAGAGATTCCTACCAGAAGCCAAGATTAACCAAGGAGACACAGAATGTGGTATAGACTCAAGGCAAAGCATGAGAGCAGGTAAGAACTGTATGGGCCTCAACATTCCTATCAATCCAGAGCTTTCAAGAGAAGGAAACTCCTTTGGGATAGATACCATCAATGCATGGCCAAAATCAGGGGACAGTTCCCAGTACAGGAAGATTTCCACCATCTTGCAGAACAAAGGTGCTGAGACATTTTCTTCTGCATGTGCTGCAGCAGATAACTTGCTTTGCTGTACACTATGGGAATTACACCACTCTCCTCTTCCAGCACAGTGTTAAAGTTTCACGTCCCAGCACTTACCTTGCCTTTATTAATGAGAGACAGTGACATCTCAGAGACCTCATGAGGGACGAAGTCCTGAAATACCACCTCTGGTGGGGAAACCCGAAACAAGCTCTGTTTCGGGGGAGCTGACGGCAACTGGAGAGGAAAGGGAGAGCACAGAGAGGTTCAGCTGCTGGAAGGAAGGTTCATGAAGGAGAATCTTACACTGATCCCCAGTGAAGTACAGGCTCTGGGTGAGCACATCTGCCCAGCCTACAAGCCTACAAGCCAAACTGCTCTTTGGACATGTATTTCTTCAGGTTTCCTTCTCCAGAATGCCAGGCAACACTTACCTTAAGCACAGCCCTGTACCCATGTGGTCACAGAGCTCTGGGGCACTGACTGAGCACTCACAGAGTAAGTAAAACCCATGAATTTACAGGAGACTCCATGGGAAACCATTTTGGGATGTCCTTTGCTCTGAGACAGGGAACGCGAGGCACACAACTGCAAATATCTTTTTTGCTCTACAACTTGGACATCAGTAAGAAGAGAACAGTACCAGAGGAGGTGTGAGATGAGGTGATAATTTTGCTGAAGCCAAAAGGTTACTAAGCAAAATAATGGAATTTGTTGGTTCTGTGTGTTGTTTGTGATTTGGATTTGTTCAGGTTGGTTGCCTGGGTGTTGCAGTGAGAGGGACAGGGTTGAAGACCAGACCAAAAGGAAGTAGGAGGAGAGGGGAGGGGACAGAAAAGTTGGTGGTTGGTAGAGAATGGAAGTTCCTGGATGAGTACCCATCCAATGGAAAAGGGGACAGGGACCACCCTGGCTGGGTACAGAGGGGATAGAAAGATTGCCATTTTCTCGGAGGGTGTGTGTGTCCTCAGCTGTCAGGGAGGGAGACACACCCGGCTCAGCTGAATCATTACTAATGAACAGTTTTCTTTTGCTTTGATGATTTTGTCCCCTTTAATTGTACTTAAAAGTTAGTGCATTTCAAACAGAGGGAAAGGCAAAAATAAAAAGACAAATGAGGTGAAAATAAAAAGACAAATTAGGTGAATACTGAATGAGGATAAGGTTCAGTTGTTTTCTCAGCAACTGGGGTAAAAGTAGAGTTGGCATCTCCTTTTTCCATGTACTTTAAATGGGTGCTTTCTTGTCATTATTGCTATCTTATTTCATACCATTGCAGAGGCACGTCTGGAGTGATGTGACAAGAACAAGCAAATGCTTCTGGAGCAGAGACATTGCTTTGAGAAAACTCTGCCCTGCTTTGTCTGCCTGCTCCAGCCACACTGCTGTCACTGCAGAGACACAAGCAGCTCTCCCGTGTGACTCCACAGAGACACAGTCTGCTGAAGGGAGTGGCTGCAGCACACTGTCCCTTAGTTGTGCCCTTCCCTGAGGTGTTCCCAAGGCCCCTCTCCAGGGCAATCCTTAACCTGCTTGTTCCATGTCTCTTGCTGCCAATTTCCTGCTCAACAGCCCACCTCGGTCACCTGCCCCTTTGGACTGTGCTTTATACTGAGCCAGTCCTGCCAGAAAAGCAGCTTTAAACACACCACTAAGTAGGCACTGACAGACATTCCCCCCTGCCCAGGGCGAGTCTCCTGTACATCTGGCAGCCTGCAAAATCTAACACCCCGTCAGGGTCCCAACACATTGTTCCAACCCAAAGCATTAATGCAATTTGTTTTGGTAAATATGAAGTAATTACTGCAGGTACTCGGCCTTCAAAGGCCAACGCTGCCACTCTGGAGGGAATCCTTTGACCCTGAGCGTTTGATGGTGACCACACCAAAGCAAGAGGAGACCTTCAGCAGGAGAATGGCAAATGGCAATTTTCTGCCTTTGTGTCCCCAGCCTTCCCCACGTTGTTTTAGCAATGGCAGCTACACTCCAGCACACCCCAGCAGCTGCAGCAGAGGTCATTTGTGTTGGCTTAGTGCACATCAGGACTCCCAGTTCACCACTACCAGCAGTTTGCAATGACAACAGGACCGGGACACTGAGGTATTTTGCTGGACGCAGGCCTGTCACAAGCACACATCCTCTTCAAACATCATGTTAAACAGAAAGGAAAAGAGCAGGAAAAGGCTACCTTTTGATGAGTCTCACTCAGGTCTACATATGGGCCAGTTCTGGGCAGAATACTCTCCCCAGTGCTGGCCTTCTTCTTCATGCTGAGAAACGTTTCCCTCAGGAACTTAGAGGGAAACATCTGAAAGACAAAAATAAACCAGCTAGAGCCTCAGAGATGCGCTTGTTCAGAAAAGCTTTTCTTGAACAAGTGGCACTGGTGAATAACTTGTGATCACAGCCTCTAGGACAGTCCTGGAAGCCCTGGAAGCTTCCTTCTGAAATACTTAGCATCAGTAAATTAATAACAAAGAGTGGAATACACATACTGCAACCACATGGCTATGTCCCATTAGCTTCTCCATTATTTGATGTGACATGTTTGGGGGCTCACAGCGCTGCTGGACAACAGGGGCAGGGAGAGCAGGGACAGCAGGGGAGCTTCCAGCCTCAACACAGCCCCAGTGGGTACTCACAGTAAAAGATTTCAGCATTTCCCGGGACAAAAGACGAGATGTCGGTGTATTTTTTGGCAATCCAGATGCCATTTTCAAGGGAGGATGTCGCAGATGAGCGACAATGCCTCAACAAAACTGGAAGGAACAACAATGGAACTCTGAAAATCCATAGCAGATTCAAGGCACATATTGGTGCTAAAATTTTTGTATTATTTGAAAGTAGTTGAGTGCTTGTTTGGCATAAGTAACTAGTATTGTTAGGCCTCTAGTTGGACTTTATTTGAACTATACGGCTACCTTGTGCAATTCAAAGATGGATCATACTGAAACCTGGAGCTAAAAATCTGAACATTAATAATACTTAGAACAGACAAAGCTATAGCTTAAATATTATTTTAAAAATAGCTAGAGTGGACCTCCTCTTCTTTATGCTAAACAACCCCTGCTCTCTCAGCTGCTCCTCACAGGACTTGTGAGAGACTGGAATGCTATGGCTATTGTTATGAAGCACTTTTTGCCCATTGTGACAGAAGAAGCTGCGACCACCAAAGCTGTATATAAAGAAGCTGAGACCACCCAAGCCCACCCTTCCCTGAAAAAGATTTTAGATTATCTGAAAGTAGCAAGAGACAGAGTCCAACTTGCCCCACCCCAGGGAGGTACCTGAGCAGTCCCACCTTGCCCAAATTTGCAGGAATCCATTGGAGTCTTAGGTTTTGCAAGACCTCACCACAGAGAAGATTTAATGGTATGCCATGGGATCCACACAATGGTGATACTTTCTACTTAATCTGTTACTCTATTTCTCACCCCCTCCCCAACCTCCTTCTCTATTTCTCTCTCTGTCTTCCTCACATTGACTGTTACATAAAATCCAGACTATTGACTTTGGCATATGGTCTCGTTTGCACCTTAATTCAGGGGCATCTCCCTAATAATTTTAATAACCAGATCATAACAACCTACTGAAACTTGAACAGAACTCATTCACCTTTAAGCAGTTTAAGTAATCACTATAGGAGAAATTGTATAGACTAGTATATTTAGGAAATGTTGCATTTCTTCAGTGAAAAAAAAGCACAATCAGTAGACAATATATCTTTCTCAGCTGTACACACCACTGAACTGCTGCACCAGAACACTGGCATTATCACATCCTGTATTTCCCTTTGGAATTCTCCATCTCACAGATGTGACAAACCCAAAAAGTACAACTTGAGTCAATCTTTACCTTCAAACGAAATTCAGGACACCCTCGCAGAGGCCAATGCCCTGCGAGTTCAGGACTCGCTCGTAGAGACTAATCTCTGCGAACAATTCACTTGGCGAATCGCTGAGCCGTGCCGTTTCACGGGCCCAGGCTGAGATCAACCAGCCCGGAGCGCGCTCTGCGGCAACCGAGGCCGCGGCGCCGTCACAGACGCTGGGCCGCGCTCGCGGTGACCCGGCAACCGCGGCACCCGACCGTCGGGGCCGGGCCCGCCGCGGTGACGCTGGGCAGGCCTCGGTCCCCGCTCGTTCCAGCCCTGGCGCCCTCTCGGTCCGCTTTAAAGACTTGGTGACAGAAGAGCAACGTAGGATTGAGCTAAGACAGACAAATATCCAATTAAAGTCAAATGACAAGTTATTTTATTTCCAGATGGGGCCGCAGACGGTATGCTGCTCAGCATCCTGGGGGTTCAGGACGTCCTGCAGCATGGCTGAGCCATGAGACTTGAGGAGTACAATTATGAAAAGGTGAAGCACGAACATTTCCTCTTCACCTATATTGCATTACCAACTCAATTTAAATCTCTGAAGTATTCATTAGTGTCAAGAGCATATCCAACCACAAATTTATCTGGAATTTCAAAGCCTGTATCTGTAAAAACAGTTATTTTTATAATTCAGTGGTGTAAGTAGCTTTAAGTGCACAGTTGGTATTCAACACATACTTGAGCTGAGAGTAAGAGGCATCGTCTCCTTCAGGGTGCTTCCTTAAGAATCTGAGCTGTAAATTGATGACAGAGGTTAGAATCTAAACCATTCCCATGAGTCAGTAATATAATTAAGGTGTTAAGAGAATGATTTCTATTAAGAAAATAATTGTTTAAAACCTAGTTATGAGTTAGACCTGGGAGAAGAGAAAAGAAGTGAGATTTTACTTGAGTGAAAGTAGATTAAATGTTATTCAGGAGGACTTTTGAGTTTGGAAACAAGGCAAGTTTAATAATGTGGAGTCAAAACAAATGTCCTCTAGGGGCAAAGCAAAGCAAAGCACAGTTAAGTTTTGATCTGTTTCTGCTATCTAAATAGTTAAATTGGTTTATCAAATTGCTAAACCTGCACTCAGGCCAACCAGGGGAAAAAAGAAGGTGGTCATGAGGCCTCAGGATAGCATAGCTGGTCATTAGCTTTTTATGTAGTTTCTCCCCATTTCTCTTGGCCTTCATGAAACAGGTGCCAGTTGTCAGATGTGCTGCCTGAAGTGAAATTGCAGGACTGTGTTTTGGAAAACACAGAAAAAAAAAAAAACCGAGAAAACCACAATTGCTTACATTACATCTGGTCTGTTACCTGGACTCTGACGTGTCCTTTTGATGAGCAGGCTGTAAGGCAGAGCAGAGAATGTTGGTTTTTAAAACCTTTGGTCTTCCTCTAAGCTATAGACTTCCATTCTGCCACGCCTCCCCATAAGCGTCTAAAATCATGCACTTAAGTTAAAACAGTGAGATTATTGCACAGAAAGAAGTAGTGTTCAGCCTTGTAGTGGAGGGAGAAGCAAAGGCCCTGATCTAGGTTCAGTCTTTATGTCCAAGTGGCTTGACTTTGTATTCAGTTCCCTGCAATCCTGTGTCTCAGGTATTTGTCCTTCCAGGCAGCACACTAGAATGCCTCAGCACACTAGAATAGCACAAAGGGAGAAGCATGTCCAAGTGGCTGGGAATGATTTTAGTGGGGAGGGAGGGAGGGAGAAAAGGACAATTTCTTCTGCAAAATTACATCTATTCTTGCTTTGCCTGTGCACTTCAGAAGAAACGGAGAACCTCCCTGGCAGTCACTAGAAGGACTGTCTGAATAACTGATGCTTAAAGCAGCTGTTTTTATAAAGCGTTGTGGTTACTTGACAGACACAGGGATAGTCCACAAAATTTCTTTAGAGATCTACTAAAAGCAAATCTAGAATGCTGCTTGAAGGCATCTTCCCAGTGCTGACAGACTCCCAGATTCTGGAAACTTCCACAGTTGAGGATATTAAGAAATCTTCAGAGTGCTGCCATTCTAGTATTGAGGCAACTGAGGTGGTGTTAGAAAACCTATGGAAAGAGATGAATTTCCTTCAAACATAAAGTAACAAACAGGGAATCTATCAGACTTTATGGGCTACATGGAAAGAGACATAAAACCTTTTTTTATTAATTTGAGCAGTGAAGATGGTAGTGCACAGGTAGATTTCCCAGTTTAAGAAACACTTATTTTTTCAGCAGCAGGGTAAGGATTACTTCCTGCATTTGCTTGCTCCCCACCCAAACTTCAAGCCAAACAAGCACCTATCAGCATACACTGACTATTCACCCAAATGATTTGAATATGTTAGTTAGTGGCTATATCCTTATACCTTACCATTTTTACCATCCTTGGTTTCTTGTGTTTTATTTTTGAAAGCAGAGCTTTCATTGTTCTACCAGTCTCAATAATGTCCTGAAAGAGATAAAAAAATAAATTATCCTTCAAGTTTGAAAGGAAAACCAAACTGTCAATGGATTAAATTAGAGCATACAAACCTGGCAGCACAGTAACATATTTAATTATTATTTTATATGTAATATGTATTAACTTGAAAAGAAGGGAGAAAAGAATCCATGTCATTCCACCCCTCCTTCAGTCATTACCTACCTCTACTACTAACACATTCTGAAGGAAAGGAAAGGGGAAAGGAAAAAGGAAGGAAAGGGGAAAGGAAAAAGGAAAGGTAAGAGGAAAGAGAAAAGGAAAGAGACTTAAATGGCAATTTGCAGCAAATTAGGCAAGAAAAGCAAGTTAAAGCAAGAAAGTTAAAGGAAGTTGCACTGATTTCTGAAGGAGACTGTCACTTGAACTTCTGACTTTACTTTGGCACTTTCTGAAGTGTCTTTCTGTAAGTATGTATGAAAGCTTACAATATGGTGATAAAGGCACATATGTCAGGTCTATACATTGCTCTGTGCCACACTGAATGAGTCAGTTTAGTATGGTTCATTTCTGGGCATTCTGGGATAAAATGCCCAGAAGAGGATCTTTGGGAGCAGCCATCACTGATCACTTCAAGTTTCCACTGAGATCAGTGGGAATTATTCACTGTTTCAAAGCCCAGCATTTTAAATCAGTGTTAAATAGCTGGAAGTATGCAGTATCAAAATCTTAATAAAGATAGATTTCCTGGAAAATATACAAGAGCAGTTGTTTCCTTTTAAAAGCTGAATATGCTAATTCATACCTTCCCATTTAGTGCAGACAGTTCCTCTCCAAAAAAAACTGATTTTTTTTTTTTCAGGAGAATCATTCTAGAAGGAGAAAGAAGAGATGGAAGTCATATAAAGCATGCCCAAAAGTGTTATCCTGTATTTGTTTGAAAGGTGTGCTGCTCTTGCTTTTTGCAAGAGGAGGGAGTTTGAGCTCTGCCCCTGGCTTTGTCATGTTGAGTGTTCTGCTGTATGTTTGTTCCAGTGAATGTATAATATCCACCCTTTGGGGCAGATTACTAAATCAGTTCCTACAGCCGTACAACCCTGAGCATTTCATGCATGCAAATATTAAAATTATAGGTACGGATGTCCAACAATTAAAAATAAAATCAACTTCTTTTTCTGTCTCATACAAAATCTGGGTTTACAGTACACTAGAACACTTCATACAATACAGATGCCTCCCTTCTCTGCACACCTGTAACTCGGTCTGATCTACAATACTGATAGAAGTTGCAGGTTGTAGTTTCACACAAATCCAACGTTTTTTCCTGGGTTTTTTGCTCACATTCAAATTGTCTTAAGGATTTACTTTTACTTTCTCCTTAAACTCCGGAAAGATGTGATTAGTTTCATCCTATTTTGGTAAATAGGCCAACCTCATCATGATGTTTTTCAATCGAGTTTATTCTGTGTAAAATTTCTTTTGCTTTCTTCCAGTAGTCTTGCAGACATCTTTTTCTGACCTGCACATCCAATTCTTCTGCGTTGTTCACATTTAATGAGTTATCATATAATTTCAGAGACAACTGTTCAGCTTTATAAAATATGAAACAACACTAAAATTTTATCAAGTAACATTTAAAAAGTATTTATTATATTTTAGTATGCTGAGGGCCAGCACCAACAATTTAATGCAAAATAACAATTTTTATGAAACTTACACATAAATGTTAACACACTTGAAATATAAGCTGCAGTTACAAGAGGTGAACTCGCAATCATAGTTCCTTATAAACTGCTTTCACAACGCTGCTGTGAAAAAAAAAGACTTTTTCATTGACTTAACTCTGCCTTCTTCACCAGTTTGAGTCTCTGCTTTTTTAAAAAAAAAAACAATTTTAATGAACACTACAAAAGCACAATATTAATGGACACTACAAATCTCCACACCTCCTCAATCTTACAATAACCTCTCAGTTGTGCTTGCAGCACAGAAATGTAGATACTGGTTTGTTTTTTCCTAATTAGCAATTGCACACCCTCCACACTCTAGAGATTACAGGACTCTGGTAAGGTCTCTCTGTTTCATGGGAGCTAT